TGTACGTACACATACATCTACGACAATCTAAACGTTTACTTTACAGGCATTTTCAAACACAAGCTAACTGTCAAATATATGCTCCTTTTAATATAAGCTGTTTTATATGTATTCGTCAGTTAAAAAAGTCTTATTATATGTAGTTTAATCTGTATTTTTATCAAACAGAGGCTTAAATCAAGAAGTTCCCCACTTCTAGCTGCTTTATCTGCATGGTCTAAACACAGCAAGCTTGCTTCGTACGCACAAGCGTCATAAAGCTGTAAAAAGCTGACGCCACGAGGGCCGTTTTTTGCCAGCTGCCTTATTGAAATGAACTTGAGAGGAAAGTATTGATCCCGTTTCTGCATGGCAATGACACAACCGGGCTTCTTTAGAGGTGACTCGATCCAGACCCTCTTGTGTTATGCAGGTGACGTAGACAAGTCGCAGAGGATTCGACTGGTGTCAAGGAGCTATTTAAAATTAGAGCATGGCGGCGCAATTGATTTTGTTTATATTTAATGTGATTAAACACAGTGGAGAACATTTGCTGTTGCTGGAATCCCAATCACGGCTTTCACTGACGCACAGATGCACCGCAGGTTAGAGAAATGTCCTCAAGATAATATATGCCATTTGGCGATTGCATTTAACCAAAGTGTCTCACCAAGATTGAAGACATTTTAATAATGGGTTTTGCCGTGAGACCAACTGGGATAGTGTTAGTGCCATGAGACAAAACAGCTTCAACGCAAGTAAACAACTTTAAAGTTATAAAAACTGATTTTTCTTAAAAATCATAGTATTGTCAAATATTTCAGGCACCCTTAAGTAATGTAAGGACTCCTCATATTTAATATAACTATAGTACATGAACCCACAATCCAAACGGCTGCAATGCGAGGGCAAACAAGTGTTCAGGAGGAATGGACATTTACATATTGTCACAAAAATAAGCAAACAAGCATAATTTTACTCAACACCTTTGGACAAACTCTTCCTGCTGCTTACTCTGTATTATCAGATTATAACATGCCTGTAATTAATGATGAAGTTTGAATTGCCTGCATGGATATTTAATGAAGCATTGTCACAGAAAAAACAATACCAGAGATCCCACAATTATTTCCTCCTCGTGTGAGTCCAGCTCTCTGAATCAAGATATCTGAGTCCTGCTACGAGTCCCTGATTAACACCACTGCTCGTGTAGTTTTGTTTTAACTGTCCCCAGTTAAATGAGAAATTAAGAGGCAAGAGATAGAGGCTAATAGCATTTATTAACCCAGCGTGAAGCGGGCAGCTGCTCCTCCCCAGCTCTGTGTAGTCCTGGTGGCTCGGGGAGCGTTGCCCAGATAGGGGAGTGGAACATAATAAAAAGCAACCATTGCACCCAGCTGATTAATGCAGCCCTGTGGCTATAGTAATTATCCCTCTCCACACTCCTCCAGCACACGAGCCAAACAAGTGTGTGGCAGCGACAGGGAAATGTGCAAATGATGGATCTGTGGGATTCAGATTCTGTGTTCGTTTGGTTAGTCAGTAAAGACACATATGTGTTTGTTTCGGTCGAATCTGAAGGTGGAGTTTAAGCTTTTACACCTATTTTAGAAGTTTAATCTCCACAGTATTTTGGCCTGGATTTCAATATCTGTGTAGAGCATGTTTGCTTTTTTAGTGCTCAAACATGTATTAGTAAATGAAAATATCATTTGTTTCTGTTTAAGTTAGAACATTTGTTCCCAATACGTTCATAAACAAACATAAAACATGAACAGCATATTAAAAACCGTATGAGTGTACAGTGAACCAAAGAAAATAAGGTACATAAATATAGCAAAACAGATTCATAGGTACAATTTCCTAAATAATGTCACCCCTGATAATACCTCTTGTTTTTGGTCAGATTTATATGTGATATTGCTCTATAAGTACAATTCTTCCAAAAAAGATGCATCACAGAAACATTAACAGACTCTTAATACATATTAATATATATATTTTACCATGTTTCTACAATATATATTATTTCCAATGAAGCTGTGCACCTCATTTACTCAAATAGTGAATACAGAAATAAATATAACTGTCCAGAGCTAGTTTCTGGGCTTTCAGATTTAGACATAATTAATATACATTTCGAAACATATCTGTTAATCTTTTTATTTCTCTCATTCTTTTGAGCGGAGCAGAAAACGTATAGTTTAAAACCAACAACTAATTATATTAAAATTATTCTAAATAAAACAACACTGACGAAGTACAGTTTAAAGAATAGGACATCTGGGGTAGATATTTCCCATTTCATTGATTTGTTTATTAGAATTTATTTATTTTTTGACTATCAGTAATTTTATTAAAGCATTGCGAGGTCATGTGATCACTTACTTAAAACGACTTGTCTTTATTTGTTCTGTTGTAGTGTAGATGACACACACCATTTTGTCATGAGTTTGTCCACAGTTAGGACGGAGTACACGGCGCTGCCTGCTGAGCGCTCGGCCGCACATACAGTGTCTGTTCGGAGAGGTCAGGAGGTCAAACATAAAAGACTAGTTTGCTCATGAATCAGGAATTGAATTACATGCTGCCAGTGTGACAGAGATATTGTCCCTCAACTCACCACAATATGTGATTACTATTTATTGACAGGTAATGATTGGTTCTTCTTCACTTTTTAAAAACAAGCTGCAGATTGCACCCAGACGGTTACATCTCAGCGTCTCTGATCTGCTTCTAGGATTGTTTTGTTGAGATTTAATGTGTTTTGTTCATAAGTGCACACATTTTTAATTGTTCTAGCCCAATTTAAACTTCATAATTTAGCCATATTTCAGCATTAAGAGGCACTGGAGGTGAGGTATAAATCACTGTTAATGAAAAACGGCAAGTAAGCTGTAAACTTATTTAAAATAGATAAACCGCTTCCTCAAAATGCACATTATTTAAATCCCAGACTGGCTGGGATCTGCTTAAAGAGACACACTCTTGGTCTCTGGAAGAAGCTGGAAATCTGTTTTGCTTAAATACAGACCTAATGATTGGATTACTGTTTCTTCGTTTGGCGATGGCGTGATAGTGGGATTACAGACTGAGCGCTCAATAGATTTCCTGTCAGATGCCATGAAGCCCGGTGTCCCCTCGCTGTGTAAGCTGGCGGAGAGGGAGGGAGGCAGATGAGCCTTGGACTGACAATATGGCCCACCTCAGAGAACTGGCAACACAAGAGCTGCAAAAATACATGCAGAGAATGTTTTAATTAATAGATTAAAAAAGCGCAATATTCCTTCGATAGAATGTGCATGAATAACCAAATACGCAGTTTAGCGTTATATAAAAACATTATTTCCATATGCACTCTTATTTAAATCTGTATATCGACATTTCCTCATTTATTGTTTTTATTAAATCAACTTCCCCAGTATTCAAACCTTAATGTGAAATCATACATGTCAACTAAACATTAGTGTCTTTCCTTTTCCATCCTCCCTCTCGGCCTCATTAAAAACATAAACATATCTCCTCTATTGATTATGTCTGGATGTCTTAATCAGATCAGTGGGAAATCCAGGTTTTCCTCCGTAGGAAAGTACATTAAATGCCAAAATATTGATCAAAAATGTAATTGAGAATGCACAACTCCTTTTATCAAAGCAATCAGCCTTTGCTCCTGTGACTTTGATATGGACTGACATGAAAAGAAAAGCGTTCAAAATTATAATTCCTTTTTATTTAAAAGACTGTTGGGAAACAGAGTCTGTCCCGGGGCTCCTGGCGACACAGCAACGCTGTGATCAATAAGAGCGTGCGATGGGTTTTGTATCGATCAGGAAAATGTGGGTTGATGAAGTGGGTTGGAGGGGAAGAAGGGGGGGGGGGCTTTGGGTTTCCTCTGATGGTTGCCACATTACACAGACGTGGTAAAGATCCACTCAAAGTTGTCTGTCGTCGTCATCGTTATTATCATTCCTGCCGAGGTCATTATCACTCTCGGTTTCTTACATCCTGCCTCTTTCAGGAGTGGCAGACCCCCTCTCACCACAGTGTGTGATTGGTGAAATGCTGTGGGAAGCAGCTGCCATTACTTCAAAGGGGGGGCCAGGCTGTGGAGAGCCAGATCCACGGTGGAGAGGATAAAAGGGTAAAGGGAACAGTTTAGCTCCGTAAGCTGGCACTGAGCCTTTCTGAAGCACAGTAAACAGACCTGTTTAAACCTTCTTCAGTGAACATGCTGCTACTTCTGCTGCCTGTCAATTACTGCTGTCCACTTCACTTTACTTCAGAAGCACCAACATCAAAGAACAGCGCATACAAACCTCTCTGTATCTATATATATTCACATCCACTGTTTATCTATATCTATCAGGGGGGGCTCTGCCTGTGTTTTGCAGCGCTCCCTTGTGAATGACTGGACACCTACTGGCCGCTCTTTAGCCCCTCCCGTCTCAGTAATCTCTCCTCCTCATTGGATGCTCTCAGGACAGCCCTCCCAAAACAGACCAATGGCAGCTGCTCCATATGCTGTGACCACTCCCCCCTGCTCTTAAAGAGCCCCCATGACTTCAATGGAGACTCAATCCCCTCACTGACTTCCTCAGCCTGAGTCGCTCTCTCCACTGCTGCTCTCCATCCATCTGTGTCTGCCTTTTATTCTCTCTTTCTCTCTCCATCACTCCCCTGACCTTCCTTCTTTCTTCTCTTCTCTACACTTATTTCCTCTCTTCATCTCTTCCTCAGTGTTTTCCTGCTCTCTATAACCTCACTACTCTTCCTCTCTACTCACGTACTCCTGAGTGCAGCACCTGTGCAGACTGGAGTTTGTCGGGCCGAAGCAGAAGGCTTTTTTTTTTATTTGTGTGAGTCGAAGAGGGGAGGGAGGGGAGACAACACCCAGGAACACCTGACCAACATTTCATCAAGATATGTGGAGACTTAGGAACTGATCTCCTCCTCCAGCTTTTCTGTAGGTGTGTGTTTATCTGTTTTTTAATTGCAACACCTGGAATGCTTAACCTGGACTGATGGATGTTTCCGAACTGTGCATCCCTGACGCTCTCTGCTACCACAACCAGTAGGTGCCTCTTTTTATCCCACTTCCTATCCCCTGTTTCATCTTTATTGTTGTTTCCATTTCACAGGACAGAATTTAATTCACTTCTTTCTCTCTATTTGTATCAAAAAGGAGAGAATAAATATCAGGATAACATGGGTTTAAATCATTAGTGAAACTGATAAAGTAAACTATTTAAAAACCAGAGTTCTGTATTATCTCAGCGCCTCATGTACGGGACAGCAGAGCTCAGAGTCAGTGAGGCTGCGGTAGTGAAGCCCGCGGGGAGTCCGGCTCGGACCCCTGCCCTACAGCTGTCCAGCTCTGCATCAGGATCCAGGGTTTAACCTCAGCTGCAGGGGAGAGCCAGAGGCAGATTAATGCGGGCGATATCCAGGCGATATCCTCTGGAAGCAGCCGGTGTACCAGGGAAAGAAAACTGTGACTGTACTGTCGCCCAGTCTGAGAGAGAGTGTGTCTTCCTGAGAGACGGATAAGAGTGTATCTATTGAGGCAAAAAGACAGCGTGGATCACTTTTCTGTTTGTGATTTATAACTTAACTTAATTTGACCATTTATGATAAGAGGAATTTCCTTTTATGTAAATACAATGTTTGTAACTATATCTAAATATCAGTTCTCAGCTTAACTCAAAGCTCAAATGGCCCCAGCTCTCTGTCGTTGCTGAACTCTTCATGCCTGGAAAGACGCTCTTCTTTCGAGCAAATCTGACCTGATGGTGAGACCCACTCGGATCCTCTTAATGTTAAGCTGTAGATGGGATTGGAGAGGTTTAACTTGCTTAGCACTTTGTACAGGACTGTGATTAGGATTATTTCAAACTCCTCACAAGACTTTCTACGAATTAAAAAATAGAAGAGAATTCTGTAGTGTTAAACAAACACCTTTGAAAGTGAAATAACATCAGCCTGTAATTGTTGAACAGTATCCATTATTTTTAAAAGTTTTGCATTCAAATGTAAGTCATGTTGCACACGAAATGGAAAGTAATAAAGTGTAGGATTGACAATTCAAACTCTTCAACAGTGAAGATGGTTTGCACTATACAGTACAAAATGTAAAGTGCATTATAGGAAGACCATAAGTTTAATTTATTAATACAATCAAATTCATTTCACTAATTTCTCTGTGGACATACCGAGTGTAATGTTTAACCCCAAATGAGTTTGTCAGGTGTTTTGTTATATCAACTAGAAGTAACAGATGTAGGTTTCATTTATTTTAATGTGTTTAAATATATATATTAGTTTTGTTTTTAAAGCCTTTGACATTCACTATTGTAATTCCTTTGCATATTGCAGTAGCGCTGGCAAAAGAAACACTACCCCTGAGCTTTTCTTTTTTGCTAAATCATCAGTTTTCAGAATCTGTACAATTGCATTTAGTTCACAGCCATTCAAATAAACAAGAACTTATGTTTTTGATTACACATAAAAACATTTTAGACTGAAATTTGAATTATAAAAAAGACAATGAAATATAACGCTTAAAGTGACCCTGGGCCAGGTGTGTGTGTGTGTATGTGTGTGAATGTGTGTGAATGTGAGTGCTGCTGTGTTTGTAGGAATGTATGTCTCTGTGCATCTACACGTATGCATTTTGTCTGAATATGTGAATATTTTAAAGCTTTCAGATTTCCTCCTCTGAAAACGGCAGGATCGTTTGTTCACAATTTATTAATCAGTCACGAATACTGACATTCTACAAACTCTGCTCTCTATGAAAACTGAATTTCTCCTGCAACTAATGCATTTTCTAGATATTCTAAAAGTTACTTCTATGTTGCCATGTTGGTTAGATTATTTTGAAGAGTGAAACATATTAAAGCATTTAAATAAAAGAGCATTTCTATAAACTGAAGGAATCATCCCTATTCAAGTAGCAGAGACTCAATAAAGTTCAATATGTGATACAGATTCTAAACATGTCTCTACCTAAGTATTGATAACCTTACTGTCCAACTTTCAGACTAATTGTCGCTTAATTATTTGCAGACAGTAAATCTGCGTTTGGTATGACATAAAGCTGTGCTTAGTAAGGTCTGTCTTCGGGCAATGCTATTAATAATTTGGCCTGACGACCGAGCTCCTGGCCAGAGGTGAGAGGTCCAACGTCTGTTGAGTCTAACTCTCACGACATGTCTCTGCAAACAGGCTCTAACTAACCAACTAATGTTAACTTATCAGGCATCTCACATTAGAGAAATATTTAATAAGCATAAATATAAGCGGCCATATATTTGTATTAATAGTTTTCACCGTTTTCAAGGATTACATTATAATAAAAAATGCAAACAAATATTTCACAAACTAAATATATTGTTAAGAAGACCATATTGTTGTTTCTTGAAAAATAATTGCAAATTTGTATGTAACTAAAATGTAAATAACATTTAGCTTCACAGTCAATTACTAAAGTCCACAAAACTGAGTAAAATACTCCCACTCATTATTCCCATCTACACTCTTTCAGGCAGATGACATGATTTGGGGATTTGGTGAGAGAAAACATTATTAGTTTGATATAATAAATAGCTGTTTTAATGGCACATATGCCTATTCATAAACACATGATATAATATTTAATATGAAACGCATTATTTTACTATTATTTAACACATTTCTGATTGTAAAAGGTAAACCTCTGTGATTAGCTGTGGTTTGAGTAGGATTAGCCGTGGCATTGTTCACACTTAAAGTGTTTCTGTTCAGTTTGCTCTAATAAATCAAATCCATTTCTCCCTCTCGTTCCACCTGCTGTCCCCATAGTTGCCCTTCAGAAGCAAACCAACAGGAATGCATAAGCACAAGCGGTCATATGTATGCACGCGCACGCGCACACACACACACACACACACACACACACACACACACACAGCAGGATACAATCATAGCGACACATACACATACGGATGAGACCAAAGAATCACACACTGACCTGGGATCTAATTTTAGCGGTGCCATATTGAAAACACCTGACTGTGTCTGTTAAGAGGAACACATCTTATCCTGCGTTGCATCTGGATTTATTACACTAGTTATGCACATGGTCATGTTGCGTTTATAATTTAACGGTTGCATCAATCAGTGTCATTAATATCAACAGAAAAAAAGATTAAAAGTGACCAATGATTTGTCTTTTCAAAACATGACAACACAATTTCTTCTTCATAAAGAAGAGATAACATGTTAAATATTATGATATGTAATATTTAACAGACTTCTTTATGTATCTATGCGTCATATTAAACATTAAAAAAAGAACATAAATAAAAGAGAAATGTTTGTCCTTATTAAATAGATCCTTAGCAGTTTAAGTACATTTTCTGAATATGATTTCGGACATGTAGTGTACTATTTCTTATTGTGTTGCGCCAAGGTTGAGAGTTTTAACTGGGAAATTGTATTAAAAGCATTTAAGTATACATCAGAAATAGTCAACAAAAAAAATATTAATTGATACTTTGCAACTTGTGAGGGCCAGTGTATTACTCTATAGCTTTATCACTCTAGTGAGTGGACTCTTTTGGCTGTTCCCTGCACTTTTTCTGCAACACATGGAAACAGCCGTCACTGGACTTTGAGTAAGACGTCCAAGGTTGTTTTTCAGTACCAAAATTAAAACCTCTCTTTGACTTTTACTGGTGAATGGAGGGAGCAGGTGGGGCTGTGTTGTGTGTGAGGAAAAATGCTTTGCCCCTCCAAATATTCTTTACCACGATCTTTGAGTTTCCATGAAGAAGTCCAGGAGAAATGACCAGAGATAAAAACAATACAAAAGTGTTTTAGCCGGGCGTGTGTATTAATGGCTGCTGCATACGAGCCCAGCTCTGTGTGACTGCATGACAGGAGAAATAACTTCATTACATGTCATGACCCCCCTCTTGATATAGATATATCCTTTAGGCAGCCTGTCAAGGACTCTGAATACATCAGGATGTAGATGGCCCTTTTTTTTTGCAGCCGCTATTCAATCAAAACATGAAAGTGGCTCTCGTGTCCTCAGGCTAAAGGCAAGCAGCAGCAGAGAGGACTTCTTAGAGTGAGTTTGTTTTATTGATGAAATGAAATTAACACACACACACACACACACCCAGAAGAAGAAGCAGTGCGTCTAATCATGGAGTGTGGGTCAGCCAGCATGTTTAATTTAATGGGCCTCATTGTAGCTTCACGAGGTCTCACATTGTGAACTTAATTCCTCTTCACCACGTTAATTTGCATTGTGTCAATTGACCGGAGCGCTTACTGTATCAGCTTGAGTCTCACTTGAAATTCAGCCCGTGCTCTAATACCATTAGGCAAATGCAAAGTTGTGTCATTTACACATTTGGAAAAAAAAAGAGAGGGGGAGAGAGAGAGAGAGAGAGAGAGAGAGAAAAGCCAATTTGCGCCGGACAAGACTCGCTTGTGATTATCAGTGGATGTTATTACTGTGGAGAAGCAGACGTTTGAAGGTTATGTTTCTGGGCAGTAATTGAAATGCAAAATAACATTAGGATCGATGGCCATCTCTGTTTATTTATGAAATCAATATCGTAACTGTCCCTCATGAGTCCCCCTCTGATTCTCAATGACGGCTTAAGTCTCTGCTCGTTTATTCTTTCTCCCCCACAACCTCCTTCTTCTGTCTCTTTTTAAAAGGCAGTTAGGGGTGTGTTTGACTTTGCAGGGAGAGCAATTTCCTGGAGGTGGTGGACGTGTATGTAGATGGGGGTTGATACTCCAGGTAAGGAGACATCATCCATGTGGGAAATCTATGCAATCTCTCTTCGTGGCAGTGACATTGAAGAGGCCATATGCTGAAAGTTCTGTGTACGAGTGAGAGTGAGTGTGTGTCTGAGTGTGTATGTGAGTGTGTGTGTGTGTGTGTGTCACAGAGAGAGAGAAACAAAGCATATCTGCCATGCAGTACAAACATCGTAACTAAAGATTGTTTAGATAGAAGTAAAAATGGTCTAATACAATTTTCAAACATTTTATTAAGAGCGATGAGATTTTGTTTCCAAACTCGCAACACACATCTGTTGTAAATAAATCCACTTTCTTTTTCTCTTTCTGCCAGTGGTCTTTGTCAGCCATGGTGCTTGATCAGATAGCTAAGTAAGTGCGTAAAAAACAATTGTTACCACAAAAGAATTCGCAACAAACTCATTTTAGCATTAAATTAGAGCTGACGCTATTAGAATGTTCGTCAATAATATATTTAAAGCAATGATGTCTGGCATTCACTGGTTCTGGCATCTCTTTGTGTTATATCTTCTTAATTTTCTATAATAATAAATGTGTTATATTTGAGTTTCAGACAAAACAAGCCTTATTAAAACAAACCCATTGTCTCTGAGAACTTGTGACATTTGATTATTTCTGTCAAAATAATTGTACTTATTATTCAGTGATGAGTGGTATTTGATTTACCCGCCTTGAACGCATATTAAAAAATAATATACATTCAGCCTTACAAAACAATTAAGCATAAATAAACTACAATATATGCTAAAGACACAACCGTTCACAAAGGGGCGAGATATTAAGACAAATAAAAAAAGGAGAACTTGATATGTATGGACGCAACAAATCAAACATGCACAGCTTGCAGATTTTAATAAACATGGCTGTTGGGGGTGTAACAACTAACCCTAAATGAATGCTTTAAAAATATATCTTGACAAATGTCTTTGCTCTATAAACTGACATTATTTGCAGCGGCGCATAAATGCATTTACATTTTAGAGCGCACACGTTTTTTGATGACCTTCATTTGTGCCAGCGCTATCACGCACATGTTGTTGTTACTACTTAACACTTGGGCGACACGCTACCCCATTTTCCCGCTCCCATGACCATTCATTTCCCAGACACCCCGGCTGCGGACTAACAGTGTAATCTATGTGTCAGGCAGGAAGGGGCACTCAGTTTAAAGCTGATAGAGTTTGCCCCAAACAAGGACAGCCTATCATAGAAAGATTAATGAACTAATTTCATGCATGGCTCCTTGCCTCTGTCCTTCTGCGCTTCCATGTTCGACTGTGTGTTCAGCACCGTGATTTACGCTGTGTTCGCTGCTACAAGCTTAACCCCAAGCTTAACAATAATATTTCCCCTCTGTGGGAAAATACATAGTAAAATATGGAGAGTCACAGTTTTAACCCTTCACTAGTCCAGCCAAGGATAGCATGAGGTCATTGTGGAGAATTGCTCTGAATATCATTTTTCTTTGACTGCCTGTAAAATTTAATAGCGCAGAAATTCAGTAGGCTGGAAAAAATATTTCATGGTTTAAAGAAGAGGTGGATGGATTTATGTAGGGAAGAAGGGGATCTGTAACACTGCCAGCACAAAGAGGCATGCCAAAATACACACACACATTCTGATAACATTGAGATTTTAAACAGCTCTGATGGGACATTTTCACACCCACACTTTGAGTCTTAAGTCAAATTAATAAAAACAACTGGGCACTGATTTGTGCGTGTTCAGACAGAGTCTCAGTCATATTAAACACTATGGACAGCTTTCTAGTTTTTACAGTCGTGTCCAGACGTTTTGACTTTCAGTGTGGTGGACAGACAGAACCTGTGTCTGGCGGCCATTGTGGGTCCGTCTGGGCCTCTAACAGCAGAGCAGAGGAGGCAGGTGACCTTCACGTCTGTCTGATGAGTCCTGCTTGTCTGCTCAGTTTGTACAATTTTTCTGCGCGGCGGAGCAAACACTACCCCATCAGATATTAGGTGCAATGCGTGTTTGGGTGAGAGTGTGTGTGTGAGTTGCCAAGAGAGCGGGGCGGGTTGAGGAGAGCCAGGCTGCGCTTAGGAAACTCTGTCTCGCTTTATAATAAGAGGAAAAAAAACAAATTATGAAACTATGAAGCTATTTCTGTCTGCACGGATTGGTGGTTTGTGCCATTATTTCATTTCGACAGATTTGAAAGGACCCATTAGAAATTTCCATTAAACCTAACAAAAAAACATCTCCCCAGCGTTACTGTGTGCTAAGTGGGGAATGAACTACTTTTTACATATGCCACAATGTACTATTCCATAGGGAATCCCCCTATCGGGCTGCGATGATGTATTAACTGTTACCATGCCGCGCTCTCCAATTCCCTCAGATGGGAGAACATATACCTTCCAATTGACTATAGGTGCATGCTGATTGCTTACAAGATTTAACGGTAGCCCTGTGAATCTTTTATAAACCGCAATAGCCTCAGAATGAAGACTAACATAATATTGTATCGCTCCATCTCGCACTATGTTAACAGTCCTGACTGATTAAAAATGCATAAGGAATGTCTGGGACCCGTAAGAGGAGGGTTTATTTTTTCATGCCTCATCTGGAACAGGAAGGAAGCAGAGGATCGATAGATCTGATCTGGGCCCAGGGGTGGAGGCTATCTCCTCCTCCTCCCTCCAGCCGCTACCCGCTCGCAGTTAAAAGAGAGGTTTCATGTTGTCAGGGCCTGATGACTTCATGGCTTTTTATAAACACTTGTGCAAAGAGGCAACAATTGGGAAAATGCATTCCATACAAAGACACATTTGCCGCCCTGGCAGCACAAAGGCGACAACTTCAGAGGAATCTGGTGAGCATTAGCTTCCTGTTAGTTTCAGACATTCTTAACATGGCTTTTCAATGTTTTCACCCAATGTTTACAACTCTCAAGCATGTAGGGCTCAAGTTGTGTGAAGTCAGCACCGGCTCTGACGGACAGAGCCAGCAGTTCTTAAACACATCCAGGCCTCATGTCACGCTTTGTTTAAGAGGTCGAGGCTACTGTAGTAGCAATGGTGCTTCAAGTACAAAAACATACAGAGGCTATACCGCCTTGAAGAAAAATCATAGTCTGACAAAAACAACAGTAGCAATTTCTGTTATTCATTGTGTCCTGAGCCCAGTGCCCATGTTTATAAGACAACATTTGTCAGATAGTACCTTACTTCTTACACAAGTTTACATGGAAACTAGGAGCGCAGACCTCTGCCAACACCATGTCCTATCCTTCAATGTTATTCAAAGTAAAGAATAATTTGTGTATCCGACCCGTGATTTTAGATTCTCCTCAAAATCTTTTATTTTAAGGCTCATATTACACAAAAAGCTGGCAAGTAGTTTTTCCGTAATCTTGCTGACAATCAAACCAAACTGAAAACCAAAACCCTTTTTCCGAGGTTACTAAACTATTGTCCTCTTTCAGTTCTACAAATAAAATCGGCAATGAAAAAATACACCTCAAGTTTCAGAGCAATACATGCAGCGTTGCAAAAAGACTGCAGGATCCTTTTGTTTTTGATCATATTTGGTAATTATCAGGCAACAGTTGCTCTTTGTCTGTGATTTGTACAGAAGTATATACGTAAAATGTTCTATTAACTGCCTTTTCCCAAATGTTATAATGAAATGTGGGATCGGGGAACTCAATCCCAGGTCAGAGCCTCTCCAACCTCTCACTTAAGTCCACCGTAACCCGGCACCGTCCTTTGGCAAACTAACCGGGACTATTGATTGGGTCATATATTACCCATGATCCTCCATATGCTGAGTGTAACACCTCTCTCTGTCCATTAACAGCCTTCTGAGGTTTCATTCATTCATTTACTTCTGGCAGCCGACCAATTGTGGGCATTGTTTTCAAGATGTATGGGGCATCTGTTGACATGGTCATTAGTTACCATTTTGCCTGAGAGAAATAAGCTGCTGTAGTATATCACTTGGCATTCCAACACATAAATGGTTGTGTCTGTAACACAATCTATCAAACTCAGACAGACCGGCGTGCTCCATCACAGCTGACGAATCTCTCAGTGAATGATCAGGTGATGATGGACGAAGGCGACTTGTTAGTGGTGATAATGTACATTTACTTTAATATAAGATTCATTGTGGCGCTAGAAAATCTGTGCTTATTCATGTGGAGTAAACAGGCTCCATCTCCATATCGCTGATGTTGGTTAACTTAATTGAAACATAATGGGATCATACAGAATTTGATATTTCAAATAATGTTTGATATCATCCAATAACTGTTTGGCCAATTCCTGAATTTGCATCCCAGTTTTGACAAAATTCTCTGTTTATTTAGTTACCAAAACTGACCACAGCTATCGTCTTGTGTGTTTCATCCAGGTTGTTAAACAGAATGCCCTCTGAGGACAGACACCTATCATCCAGCTGTGGGTCTTACGTCAAAACCGAGCCATCCAGTCCTTCCTCCTCGCTCGTAGACACCGGCAGTCACCACAGTCCCAGCGGAAACTCCGACGCCAGCGGCGGCTACATAAACGGCAGACACACGCACGCCCTCGACTCTCCGCCAATGTTCAACCCAGGCATGCTGGGAGGTGGCGCCGCCTGCCTACGCCGCTACGAGGAGTGCGCCGGCGTGGTGGACGACTCGCCGATCAAGTGCGAGTACATGCTCAATACCATCCCCAAGAGGCTGTGCCTGGTGTGTGGTGACATTGGCTCGGGGTACCACTACGGGGTGGCCTCCTGTGAAGCCTGCAAAGCCTTCTTCAAAAGGACGATACAAGGTATTTCCCACTTCTTCTTCTACTGGCTGACCTGGGCTCTTTAATGTCTGTACGCTCCCAGTTTAACCTTAGAATAAGCAGTTTTCTGTAATTTCCCAGGTGGTTGAATATTCTGCAAGAAAGTGTTTGCGTTTTAACCCAGGTATACTATAACACCTGTGTGCTATTTTTCGCAATAGTTCTTCATATTAGCTTTATCACAACAGTTGGGATTCAGCAGAGAACATATTGACCCGATGAATCTATTGTTATGTGTTCCACATGTTCCTCTCAGTGCTGCTATCCAACCGTCTGCTCTTATGGGACTAATACGAGGTAGTGATTATGAGAGCCTGCAGCAGGCATTAGGCCCAGACTGTAAATCTGCTCGGGGTTGTGATGTTTTGATGCGTTTGCATGTGAAACGTACGTCTGGCATCGACTCTGCCATGTGTGGGAGCTGATCCAGAATAATCACTTGGACAGAGATAATATTCTGCAAACTGAGAGGCAGATTTAGATTTGAGTTGTATCTGCAGGATTTGTTGTCTATTGACATCGAGCTGGACAGGAGGTTAGTGAGGCCACATCAAGAGGTCAAGGTATTCTTTTCAAACCCTTCTAAATTACTTAAGCAAAAGGAAAAAAATGGTTTGCGTCCCTTTTCAATTTTATTTGTGATTTGCAACAATCTTTATAGTGAATTTCTGCCGACCCAAGGAAAGCAATGTAGCATAGCTTGTTACTTTACTCTCTGTGATAACGTTTCGTGTCACACTTGTCCTTCAGATATCTTCCTGTTTCTTCTATTACGCTAAACGACTGACTGTTATATACAAATGTTGGTGATAAGACAAGATGTGTGACCAGTCGAACTGATTAGCAATCACTTAGAAAAGTTGGAGGCGACAAAAACGCTTTTTATTATTTTATTATATGTTTATAAAGGGTTGACAAACAGACTTTTATCAAACATATTGGTAGGACAAACTCATATGAATATTTAAAAAGACAGATAAAACACATATATTGTTCTGACCCTAACTCTGGCAGTTTAGCCTTAACTGGTTGAATGTGTCTGGAGAGCAACACAGTGGAGGACTGTAGATAGTGTGTGTGCGTGCCTTTGTGTCTTCTTGCAACGATCCCCCCCTCTTCTTCTTCTTCTTCTTCCCGCTCTCCTTCGTGGAGGACAGGCCCATAATGAACCTAATCTGTCCGTCCTTCGTCCTGAGCCGCGGGAGTTTCAGTCAATAACAATCAGTGTTGGGTGACTGTAATTAAGAGCCAGGCATTTCATTGGGAGAAAGTCGAGGAAAGTGGGTGGGGGGTGTGGATCTGTTCTTTGCCCCCGGGCCCCTCCAGCCCACACCCAAAGGGGAGGAGATGGGGGGGGGGGGGCAATTAGAAGCGCAGGCACGTGTTATCGGGAGCAATAACAGAGGAAGGGGAGAGGGGAGAGAGGCGCTGCCGAGAAGTCCTCCAAATAAAAGGCAGAGGGACAAGGGACAGGGGACGTGGTCATTCACTGAAAGCAGGAGCCTCTTTAATGGAATGGTAATCAGGACGGGGGGTCCCGGCCCCGGTAAAGGAGGAGGACAAGGAGAGGTCCAGCCTGAGTGGAGATGAGTGCGTGGATAATAGCATGGCATAATAATATATCAAAATTTAGAGGGAAAATAAGAGAGGTTAAGGAAGGATATTAGAGTGGCTGAAATGTCCTTTGAGAAATAAAGGTGGACACAAGACCTGATTAACTAAGAGGGTATGCCGACAGTGAGCTTTTAGAGGTAGGCAATTTGAGACTATTGTGGATCCCTAATGCAAAGCCCCCCCCCCCCCCCCCTCTCATACACACATAATCATGAACACACACAGGTTATTTTTTGATCCATTTAGGTATAAAATGTTTCCTTTAATAATGGACACTACCTTTTTCTGTCCCATTGTGTAAAACTCTATATAGTAGATGCCTGTAACACTCAGTGGACATGAAGTAAACTTCTGTATATATTCAAGAAGGACTGATTTTAAATTGTTAAATCAGCACTATTTAATAGTTCATTAACATTGAGGTTTCAGATATTGATTGATGGACATCACTTAGCACACGAAAGTCACGTTTTTTGTTGCTAAAACCAAAGAAAATACATTAGTTACACCCTAATTCTCTTTAAACTAACCCTATACAGTACTTACTCTACAGGGATTATCATAGTACTGTTTTGCAGTACATGACATTCACTTATTTAGTATACGAGAAATACTATCTTGTCTTTTACTGATATTTTTTAGGCATACTTTTGATTGTAACTCATTTAAATTCTGTCACTCAAACCTGATAAGAATTAGTCGTAGTACAACATTTAAAACATATAATTTAAACCACAACTTTTAGTACTAAATTGTGAAATATTCAAATTGTTGTATTCTCACCACACAAACAGTTTAATACGGCAATAAGCATACATGCTGTGTAAATGTAGTTTATAGTGTATAATTATACACAGCACTGCACTGTACCCTCTCTATATCTATACTGTATTTTCCCTGTGCCTACGCCTCTCAGTCTAAAAGGCTTTACCCTGAACCAGCCTCTGCCAACGGGCTGGCACGCTGCCCCGGGCCCCTCACTGTGCATGTGACCCTGCTGGCACTCTCGATGCCAGGGATCCTGACAAATGTTGGCACCTTCTCCTTGACCAACCGGGGAGTGTGTGTGAGTCAGTGTGTGTGTGTGTGAGGGGCAGCTCTGGCAGACTTGCAGCAGATAACACCTGGTTTGCTGTTTTTAGGTACCATTAATACATCTCTGGGTTTAGGGGACATTGTTTAAACACTCAATCAAGGGATTTGGATACTTGGGAAAGAGGATTTGTCATTGGATTCTTGAGGTCACGTTCACTTTTTAGTTGGGTGCGTAATGATCCCGAAAAAAATTGTTAACCGGAACCTGGTGAGAAAAGCAGGCAGCGGTTACATGGCAGCAGGTTCAATATGTCTGCGTTTCTGCCTTTTTTTTGGGCCTGAGTGATTAAATTGCATGGGAAATATTTCCATAGTGAGACAACAAACGTCGAGACAGACTTGAATAATACATCGAGCTTTGCTACATGATATGGGAGCCTTAGATTGGCGAGTCTAACAGCATCTCTTTGCTGGAGAGCATTATGCAGAAGCTGCGTCCATCTCTTAGCCCTTGTGTTGTGGAGGGAGGGCAGCTTTCCCATCATCCTTTGGGTGAAGAGGGATGGGCTGCAAGGGGTCGTGGTGAGCGTTGCGGAGAGGACGCTCTGCATTAATGAAGCTAATTTATCTGAGAATCAAAATGGGGGTGGGACTCCGGGGCGGGGAGGTGCTTTTTACATGTCCCATCAAAATGCCACTAAACCCTCCTCTCCCTCAGGAGTGTCACATGAGGTCACCTTGGGACAGGTGTGTGTGTGTGTGTGTGTGTGTGTGTGTGTGTGTGTGTGTGTGTGTGTGTGTGTGTGTGTGTGTGTGTGTGTGTGGTGTGTGTGTGTGTGTGTGTGTGGTGTGTGTGTGTGTGTGTGTGTGTGTGTGTGTGTGTGTGTGTGTGTGTGTGTGTGTGTGTGTGTGTGTGTGTGTGTGTGTGTGTGTGTGTGTGTGTGTGTGTGTGTGTGTGTGTGTGTGTGTGTGTGTGTGTGTGTGTGTGTGTGTGTGTGTGTGTGTGTGTGTGTGTGTGTGTGTGTGTGTGTGTGTGTGTGTGTGTGTGTGTGTGTGTGTGTGTGTGTGTGTGTGTGTGTGTGTGTGTGTGTGTGTTGGGTCTTGATTTTCTATGTAATCATTCTAAAAATGTATCCTTACTGCTGATGTGCATGTGTTCTGCTCACATTAAGTAACTAAATGTTTTTTTGTATTTTCTTACAGGGAATATTGAGTACAGCTGTCCGGCCACCAACGAATGTGAGATCACCAAAAGGAGACGCAAGTCGTGCCAGGCCTGCCGCTTCATGAAATGTCTTAAAGTTGGCATGTTGAAAGAGGGTGAGTAAAGATATTATTACCTGGTCATTTTGTTTGTTTCTTTGTTTTCTTCACAAGAGATATGGGGCCAAAATAATTAGTTTAATAATGTGTATACAATAATGCACTCTGCAACCTAAAATGTCAAAACATTGAAAAAATCATCGAGTTCCAGCTTTAAAAAAAAAAAGTGAATTATCTTCGCTTTTCTCTTTGTAATATCATATAATTTAAACAACCAGTTTTAACAATTCACTGTGGGTATTAGGTATTTTCTACCATTTTGCGAATTGTTAAAATTAATGAATGAATAACTCAAATAATTGTAAGCCGCAGCCCTGTTGAGACTTAAGCCTTAAATACTTAAAGGTAGGGTAGGTAAGTTTGAGAAACCGGCTCGAGTGCGCTAGAATTTGAAAATACACAACCGGAAAAAATCTGCCACTTCCTTACAGAGCCCCTCCTCCAACACACACGAACGCGCACATGACCAATGAGGGCACGAGATAAGTTTGTGCACAGATGGAAGGCTGACAGGCAGGTAGGCCATCCAGTTATTTTAGCCGGGCCGGCTAAAATGATTGGTCGTGCTTTTTACAGTACTACGGCTTCCACAGATGAAATTTTTTTATGGATTTTTTGTCAAAGCACTTAAGATATTCATTGCTATCGGGATGTTAAGAGCATTCCATGGAATATAACAAAAAGTGTATCTCGAGCCGGTTTCTCAAACTTACCTACCCTACCTTTAATACAAAATAATAATGACTGAAAGTAGCACCTAAAAGGCAAAGAATATTGTTTTCAAGAAGACATTTTAATAACCAATCTTTAGATTTCTATGTTTTAATAATAATTCACTTCCTTTTATGGAACAAAAAATAACATTTGTGAATTTGGAGAAAAAATACATTTAGATGCTGTGAAGATTTCATGACCAAGCTTTATAGAAGTGTGTTTTGTGGCTTATAAAGAGTTTATAAATAAATATTTGAACCTAAAAGCTAACAATCAAAGGCATATTGGTGGGTTGATTCTGTGGATTGGAATGACAGCTTTAGGACTGAATATCAACATTTTGGTCAGACCGTTGTCCCGTCCCAGTGAATCTGAAACCCCCCACAGTCTCACAGGGGTCTAAAATAAGAGTCAGTGATCAGATAAGAAAGATGGCCGCGGCCTCGGGGAGACACCAGTGACATCACCCACAACTCACCTTTCCTCACACCGCAGAGCCTGGCTGTGTTTAATTCCGACGGGTTGAGAAAGCTGCTGAGTTGGATGTTCTTACCGGGACTGAGAAGTGTAACAGTACTCTTGAAAAGCACAGGCTGTTCCCCAAAGACTTCCCTCTCCCCTGGGCTCTGGGTATCTCTCCGCCTCACCCTCTCTCTCCCTCTCTGTCTGTCTGCCTCCCTTCCCCTCTCTTGCCTGGCGTATTGATCCACTAAATGCTTTCCGAACATCCCAGCTCACTTCCTGCATGTGTTGTTTCTCCTCCAGAGAGAGACCTTTGGGAGTACAGAGGGGAAATCTAGCCGATAGATTTTTCTTTTTTTCTCCAAGAAGAGAGGTTTTTTAGTCTGTTTGTTTTTTGCATATGTGTGTTTAGCTAGAAGGGCTATTCTACACTGATGCATAGAGTCTAGCTGTAGTTTCTTTTGAGAGTATAATACCTGGTGCTGAATTGAGACTTCCCGGTACACCTTTTTAGACAGAGTTTTATGGAGGTAATTCTTAAAAATGCAGATGAAAATGCAACCCCTTTTTATTTAGGATTTGTCTTCCAACAAATATATTAAAAATAAGCTTTCACAGACGGTCAACAATTTTGTACAAATTAATTGTTTTGCTTTGTTAGAAACACCAGAGACAGAATAGTTGGTTGTACCCACAGAATTACAAAACAAAAAAAACATTGTTGATCTTCTGATAGATTATTATTAAATGATCATAATATTGTAATTAGTTAAAATATATATTTCCATTCGCTGTGATGGATTGGTTCTGTGTTACAAGTCAATATAATGTTTTATAACACATTTATTGCAGAAAAAGGTTGTTTGTTTAAATAAAAGATTTTATGCACACTTTCTGATTATGGCAGTTTTACTATAAAGCACTAATGCCGGTGTTTAGTACAAGCAAGGGAGAATTATAATTTATTTGTTCACTTCCCACAGACTCAGACTTTGTAAATCACTGCTGTAGATCCACCTAACCAGCACACAGTTAATAGTGTAATGGACTAATGATGGCGTAGTGTGTGTGTTTTTATTACCTAACAACCATCATGAGACCACTTACTTAAAAGTTGTATCCCAGTTTAAACACAGATTAAAGCAGGTTAAGTTCTGGACTTTAGCCCACTGCCATCTGCAATTTTAGTATAAGATAAATCCTAATATGAAATGGAGTGTTTAAAGAATGTGTTTATAGACTCATCTTAGAGACATAAGTCGTAAACGTCCTAAAATAAACCTGGGTAACACAGTCTTGTTGTGTTCTGCCAGCACCAAACACAGCTCCTGATAGAAGCCAGCAGCAGTTAACATGGTAACACCAGATTGTATGTCAGGCTTTTGGTTCACTTCCACTAATACAGTTCTGATGTAGCTGTGGTTCTTCATCTCACAATGAAGGGTCAGCCATTGTATTGCCATAACAACGCTATTTTTACATGCGCCCACTCTTGATGTCTTCATCCCGGTACAAATATCTCACACCGAGGCTTTGACTCTCAGCCAGAATAAACAGCGTTGCTTCAGAAATAAAGCTGAAGCTATTAGCGCATGCTTAGAGGAAAAACGGTGGGGTATTGTCTGTGGCGATCCGAGCTAAGCCGTTGATGTGGACAGTCAGTCAGTGTGTGTGTGTGTGTGTGTGTGTGTGTGTGTGTGTGTGTGTGTGTGTGTGTGTGTGTGTGTGTGTGTGTGTGTGTGTGTGTGTGTGTGTGTGTGTGTGTGTGTGTGTGTTGTGTGTGTGTGTGTGTGTGTGTGTGTGTGTGTGTGTGTGTGTGTGTGTGTGTGTGTGTGTGTGTGTGTGTGTGTGTGTGTGTGTGTGTGTGTGTGAATCTGTAGCCTGCACCGCCTGCTGGTCCTGAGACGTAGCATCACAGCCCCCACGACATGTGGCACAGTAGGTGATTCTCTGAAAGTGATGGCATTCAATTAAAGGGAAAAAGGAGATTTAATGGTGGCATAGTGCCGTGGCGTGGCCTCTTACAAACGTGGGGGGGCTTTGATCGTGGAATCAGTGGGGGACAGCGGCTTGCCCTACTTCATGTAATGAGATCACCATGTAACAAGTGGCTAAGGGCTGCTCATGGAAAAGGAATAATCACATAGTCTAATATGAATGCAGGTGTCATGTAAGAAGATATGCATTTCATTAGCACCACATGTTGCCTGAACCTGTCGTTCTATTCTAAAATACTTTTACAGCTACAGGCATACAAAAACTGATCAAAATATTTGTATTTTAGTGTAATTCCCTTGTTAATTATTATATATACTGCGCACGTTACCATCGTCCATCGACATTATATAAATGCAATAGTAGTTGCTTGTTACTGTGCGGCGGTTTCATAAGACATGCTTCGTTCTTCAGAAGATGTTGAGAGAACTTATGCGATCAGTCGTTCTAAAAGTGTCTTAATATTTCCACCAGGAGCCTCTAAGCTCCGCTCTAAGCATGCCATCCTGAATTATAAAGTGCCAGCTGCCACAGTTATAGGCCCCCCCATCAGTGGGCAGGGGTAGCCCCTCCTGCTTGCAACACCTGCCGCTCATCAGCTGACTCTCAGAGCTCCGACCAGCCGGGTGGCGTCATGCGTGTTCGAGTAGATCCAAACCACTCCAGTTTTCGGAAGAAGTAACTCAACATATTTTAGCAAGGATTTGGGGGAAGTAAAATTAGTTTATATTTTAGAAAAAGATTCAAAATCCTACTTATGCCAAGTAGGTTTTGAAATACAGGGAATTTTCTTGTATTGGTGCATAATATAAACACAGAGGAAATTAAATACAAAGATAACATAATATAAAATAGAGAAAACCAATAGGAAGAGAAAGCTATAACATATGTACAATACATATACATTAAAATAAATGCTTTATAGAAGAACATTTTAATAAAAAATTGAAGTTTTACTATAGAAATAGTGCATTATATCAGAATATATATATCAGAAGATGGATATTTTTTTAAATATGCAAAATCTTTCAAGTACTAAAGAGATTCTGCAAAAGTGATATATGTGTTTATTAAACTAAAATATACAGATGTGAATGTGTGAATGTGAGGAGGGTCTAACTGTTATATATTAGATCTGTATCCTTTCTCATTACATGAGTTTGGAGTAGCCAGAGATAAAGGCTTTAACTGTATTTGTCCTCTCTGAAAGGGATATCAAAACGATTCTTGGAAAACATATTGTTAGTGACAGGCTTGTTTCCAGAGCGGGCTTTACTGCCGTGCCTCAGCAGGATGATCAGCGGCAGGCGTCTGTTCGAGGGAACCGGCCTCGCTCAGTGACCCCTTAAATGTCCAGCTGAGGCTGATAAAAGGTCACAGGTCCAATGGAAAAATTCTCACGTAATTACAACTCGCGGAAGGTATGGTGTCAGTCACTACTGCCAGGATTCAGTGCCTGCAGCTAATAGCAGCGCTAATAAACACATAGCATTACTGTACGGTGATAAATGATGCAAAACTCTCTGGACTGAATGAGAACTTTTTGACGTTGTGATTTGAGTCTATTTTTGTGCTGAAGATGGAGGGTTTATTTTTAGCTTACTGTAGTTTTAGTGCTGTGACAAATTCTGCATAGTATCAAGTAATCACAGCATCATGTTAGCAAATTGGTATGTCTGAAAAGATGTCTTATTAAAACACAAGTGTACAAACCCTTTAGGACTACTGACTTTGTCATGAATGCACATTTTTAACAATAAAAAGACACTTTAGAAGTCGACACTTGCCAGATTTGGTGTTAGCTCAGTGTTTCTGGTGGCTTCTTTGCTTGCTTTTCTGACACTGCTGTAATGTGGCAGATAAATACAAGCTGCCAGACTATTTTGGCAACCTACACCGCTGTCTCGTCCTCTCCCGACCACAGATAGGGATCAGCAGTCTTTCCTGAGCGAACGTGGCTACCGGGGTAACGTTACAGCCTTATTTTCCTCCGGCCACATACACAAAAGATTAGTAAAGCCATATCCAATATCACTGGACTGTCAGGTCCCTTTACAATCAATAGCCTTAGATCAGAAACCAATCCATACACTAAGATTACATCATCAAAATAAAGATATAGCAAAAGTCCATACTGTACGGATGCCTTTAAAGTCCCATACCTTCGATATGTCTACAAAGCCAGATTCTGTATTGCCCTTTGACCCCTTGTTACTTGATTTTTCTTGTTCCGCAAACTTGTCTATCTAATAGCACATGTACGGAGCAGTGTTTGCTTTTTAGGGTGTCGGGCTTCAGCGGAGCGCCCACCCAGAGGCTTTGCACTGGCCTGTCCTCACTGTCTGGCAGGTGATAGATCAGACACGGAGGCTAACACGTGTTCCCCTGAAGAAGGGGATTTAGCGAAGTGCTGACCTCTTTACAACCCTCCCACACACACACACAGCACACATGTACACACATGCCAAATGTATATCACCCCTGACAAGTGACGTGGGATCAGACCTTGAGGTCCCTGTTTCCCGCTGGCACTCGTCTCTTTCTATGTCTTTTTTTCTCTTTCACCCACCCCGACACGCAACAATTTGTGCAAACACCACAGACCGGGGATCCTGAATCGACCCGGGTCATCTCCAGCCTTGCAGATGTTTTCGATTACAGGCACATTTGTGGTCAGCGCGGCTCTGTAACACACACACAGTAATACCCTTGTGGACACGCCGACTCAGATTTATGAAAAGTGTAAAACATGATAAAGATAGCGATGCCAATGTTCGCAGCTATGGGAGAACAACTCCTGCTTTGTCTGGGGGATAGAGCAGGTGGGACGCCATCCTGATACACACCCCCCCCCCCTCCTCCTCACCCCTCACCCCTTACCCTTTTTCCTCTACCCTCCCTCTTTCTCAACCATCAAACAAAAGCTGTCCGATGTCTTCAGCTCTTCAGAAGCGGCTCTGTAGGGGCAAGGTCCCTGTGCCGTTTAAAGGGTGAGGGACAGTAGGAGGGGGCGCTCGCTGCATCCCTCTGATTTTTCCCAGCTAAAATAGGGAGCTCCTAATCTCCTTTTGGCAGCGTTAGCCAGCCAGCCAATTCTGACACATTCTCTAGAAAGAAGCGCCGCTGACAGGTGAGCGGCTGAAAATAGTTACACGGGATACACACACACATGTTCATATAGTAACAGCTCGATACGCACTGTATGGGCCACGTGCACGCCGGTGGGATGCTCTCTATAAAGCTTCTACTGCATATTATGAATAGATCTTACATAGATATTCTTTTTATACTTTTTATTTTTCATTATTTTAATTCATTTTATTTTGTACTGGACAGCAATTGGTTAGTTTCCAGGCAATTTAGTTTTGTTTTGTATTCTTCTAGTTTAATTTATTTACTGTGCAGGCCCGTAGACATTGTAAAAAGACATATTGTTTGTGTGGGAATTTGACCACAGTGGGGAATAACATGCTGTACTTTAAACAAACCCTTACACAAATCGGATATCATTATTTTATAACTTAGTTTTTAATATTACTTTCAGTTTCAATATACAAACATATACACATTTTAGTCAACTTTTTGTTACTTTCCCATTTACAGTATACAAGGTGGATATGTTATAGGGTTATTCCAGTATGTTTAGACTATAACAACCACAAGATTCATTTTTTTCCAAGTTTTTTCCACAGTTAACATAATAAATAAAACATAACAAGTCCAAGTAGTTACAGCTATTTAGTGACATTTTCCTCCTGACATTATTTTTGGTGTTTGGCTTGGTGGGAATTAATTTAATACCAAAAACCTGGCTGTATGATTTTATAAATATTTCTTTATGTGGACATTAAAGAAAGGACTAGCAACTGCTGTGTTGAAATTAATAGGAATCCAATAAAAACAAACACAATGAAAGAAATAAATTCACCTGACACGTACATACACACAGCGACCGCCACATAAAGGAAAACAGCCGCTTGAATCGGGAATGTGCTTTAAGGTTGGTCAATAAAGATATTGAATGTGAAAGGGAAGCCGGGGTCAGGTGGCCGTAAAGATTGCTGCTATGCAAACATGCCTCATCGTCTTTCCATACACATGTGTACGCACACACACACACACACACACACACACACACACACACACACACACACACACACACACACACACCCACACACACACACACACACACAGAGCGAGGATGGACTGTCAGCCAGTATCTTTGTGTCTCAGGCCGGCTAAGTTATGAGCATACTGCACTGTATGATCTTACCGAGCTCATAACTTTCAGCACACACACTTCTGGCAGCCTCGCCCTTGCTTCCATACTTCAGCAACCGTAAAAAATTGATCTGGATGCTTTTAAGATGATCTGTGGCCCCCATGTCACAGGCTCTCTCAGCGCTGAGACACAAGCTCTGGACCCGATTGTCCTGAAGCGTGAAGGCTGCTGCGGTTTTGGGCCCGAGGTGTTGAATGTGCGGCTGACGATGACACGAACCCTCCCATCCCTCCCCTAGCCCTCGACAAGGGGGCCTCATCCAGCTGTCCTGTTGTGGTCAGATTCTCAGTACTCTTCTGTATCACATGGGGAGGAGATAATCCCGCAATGGTCGGATCAAGCTCTGGCCGGGACAGGCAGGGCTGTCAGGGCCGGAGACGTGAACTCGATGCTGAAAGGGAGAGTGAAAAAAGAGACAGACAGAAGGGAAAGAAAAACAGAGATCTTGCAGAAAACTGATACATTCGGCCAAAAACAGCAGCTTGTTCTGTCTTATTCCTCCCCCCTCCTCCCATTCTTCACATTATCTAACTCTTTTTTTACCCTCTGTGTTATTCTCTCTGCCCTCCTGCCTTGCTTCTCTGCCGTTTGCAGCGCCGCTAAGCTGTAAACTGAAACTGGTTAGCGCTGAGCTCTTAATTCTTGTCAGCGTCTATTAATTATGGGCCAGTTGGATGTTCCAGTTCAAACGGCCCCCGCGGATCTTGGAATTCTAACTCCGGCTGTTTGGTCACTTGTCGCTTGTTGCAGTCACATGACCATGCAGCAGGAAAACTGTGCGTGTGTGTGCTATTGTGTGAGTGTGTGTGTGAGGATGGTGGACAAAGGCAGCAATAATTTTCGTCACTTAGTCTGACAAGTCTACATATATTTAGTGTAGACACCTGCTTATTAAGTTTCTGCATGACACATTCTTATTGTTTTGAAAGCCTTTACTAACTCAATATCTCTCTATTAGGCCTATGTGTGTCATTAAATAGACAGAAGCTTTGGAATTGTAATATCTGGAGTACATGCGTACGGCCTCCCGAAGCACAATTTATCATTTTAAATTCACCTTAACCCAGAGTAATAGCAGAAACTACTACAAAAGCTCCATCTATCTCAAACCCAGTTCCTAGCTGCCTAACTGACTAATTAAAACCGCATCCACATGTGTTCAGAGAACAAGAAGTCTATTTGCAAGCCTTATTGATTACTTTAAGGCGTACAAATGGAAAGCTGTGTTAGGAGAGGGGCTCTCGATTTAGCTTCAATCTGCCAGGCATAAAATGATCTCACTGTGTTTGCTGGGAAGAATGAGCTCCCTCTGGGCACGGTGGGTAATTAGGTTAGTGGATAGTCGGTGTCAGGAAATTGAAAGACCATCCTAATCGGATTCTTTTGTTTCCAAGGGAATCAAAGGAATTTATACGAGTCACTGGGAAATCTCACACGACTCAATTCCACTTGACCATGTAAAATCTGTTTGCTCTCCCTCAATGCTCAAACAACTTGTAATACAAGCGTGTAAATCCAGCACATAGGGTGCATCTGATGTCCTCTGAGATGGCTTTCAAGATAATCCCTGATATGTCAGCTTGTATACTAACTAGATTCTTACAATGCTCCATCTGCAACACGGAGGTATTTAACTCTTTCAGTGAAAGGTCAAAAAGAAAAGAAAGAAACTCAGCATCTATGGGATATGCATAAATAACTACTTATACAGGAATAACTTTCCAAAAAAAAGTCTTAAAGTTATTGTTATTATAGTACTGAATATGTATATGACACTGAAGAAATTCTAAGTCTCTCTCCAATTCTCTACAGCTGTAATGTCAAATAAAGACATGTTATATTATTACATCTCTGGGAGAAAAACAGGTTGTGTGAATTATGAAAATTCATGACATTTTTTGTGTTTCTTTTGAATTTCTGTTCAAAGTCTAGAAAGTTTTTGGTGTACTAACTATGACCAAAAGGATGTATTGTTTAAGTTGACTATATCTGTCTAAATAAATGTGCCCTGTAAGCTTGTTTGTGCTGGGCATATTGTGTATGCATGACATAATAATGATCGATCAATCAATCATGAATGTAAAAATATTAAAAACAAGGGAATCTGAGATTGAGATCTATGACTCTGCAAAGTATTTGCGTATATTCTTTTATCACGCAAAGTAGTTATAGATGTAGCTGTTATTGAATTCACTTAAACTCTTTTTTTTTGGAAGCCATTTCTACATGTGTGATTTTTTTTTTTTTACAGGTGTACGTCTGGACCGGGTGAGAGGGGGGAGACAGAAGTACAAGCGGAGGTTGGACGCAGAGAACAGCGCCTACCTCGGCCTCAGCATGGCCCCTCCTGCCAAAAAGCCACGTGAGTCACACAGTTGTTGATGTTTCTATCTGACTCAGCTCAATTGTTTGGCACCTCAGCGTTACAGAGAGGCTTCATTTTGCTTTTAAATCAAATAAGCAATATCACAACTTGGGGTATTTATAGAATTATTATCAATTTCAATTTCAATTGAGACTGCCACTTCTTTTTAAACTTTATGTATTTGTCATAATTCCTATGCTCCACTATAATCCAACATACATGTATTTTTTCTTTATTTTCTTAATTTTGTTTGACTTTTTTTCTCTCAAACAAATACTGTTTTGTCACCTAAAATTGTCTCACCACGCCTCTCTCTTCTCTCTCTTCATCTCTGCGTCTGTCCTCCTCTCTCTCTCAGTGACGAAGATCGTTTCCCATCTGTTGGTGGTGGAGCCGGAGAAGATCTATGCCATGCCCGACCCCACCATGCCCGACGGAGACATCAAGGCCCTGACCACGCTGTGCGACCTGGCCGACCGCGAACTGGTGGTCATCATCGGCTGGGCCAAACATATCCCAGGTAGAGAGACATGGCTGCTAATGGATGACTGTGTCGTCTGGCATGCTTCTAAAAAATCATATTCATTTCCGTATTTAACAATTTCAAGTTAGATACTTATTTCTTTCTTTGGCAAAAATTCTATGAACAAAACCAAATTTAAGAAGGTCCAATTGGAAGACAAATTACATACATTATACAACTAGGATTATGTCATCAGTTGTTTCAATCAAAAATCAATATCTAATTTGTAGGGTTTGATTACAGGATTCATGACGACACTCGTATGATATACCTTTGGTAAAGCAAGCAAGAAAACCCACATTTGTACTTTTAATTTGTTGGAACGATACAGTATGCGATTACTGAAGTAGTTCACTGACTGTTGCACACACAACCCCCACCCCCCCCCCACACACACACACACACACACACAACACAACACACACTGACAGACACAGGATAATTAACATCTGCTACTCATCTGCACCTAAGGGAGAAGCTAGTCCCATATTCTAAAATCTAATCAATAAAGAGCAGCTGAAACCTTTGATTTGACTGGGTGGAGTGGGAGAGTCTGTGTGGTGGGGGGGGGGGGGGGGAGATACGCCCCTATGTCAATGTATTCCATTTCAATCCCAGACTTAAAGAAAGCAATCCTCTTACTTACTTAAGGAGACTACACAGTAAAATTGATTTATTTAGGGAAATACTGATGGATTTCCCCGGCCCTTGTTGACAAATTCTTAAATAAGACTTGTTATGCAAATAACCTGAGATCCTTTTTATCTCTATCAGTTGAAACAGAGTTTGGAGGGAGCACAGATTGGACTCAAAGTAGATCTTATTGATCCCATCGAGTATGTACAAAATTGCACATGTAGCAAATTGAATATTTTAATGAAGCTCACAAATTTCATTATTAATTAACTGGCTAAAATGTTCTTTATTTATCAATAAAATAACCATCGCAATTTCTCAGAGCAAAAGATATCATCTTTAAAAATATATATATATCCCGCCAGCAATACAACACAGGAAGATATTTAATTTATATAAAACAAAGAAGCTCCTTACATTCGAGAATCTGGATCTAAAGAATGCTCCAAAGAAAGAAAAGAACACATTTAGTTTTAAAATGACATCATGTATATTTATCAGAGAGTAGTCACAAATTCTTAAAAGTATTCATATAGCTACAGGGGTTCAGAAATAATATAATATTTTGGAACGTCAATCCCTGTTACATTTTCTATGTATAACTATTGATCTTGCATGCTATGTAGATCTAAATGCAGACCTGACAGAGTTATTAAAGGGGCACGCGACACTCTGGGGACACTTTACCCGGGGCCAGCGGGTCAGAGTGTCACCAAGTAACGATTAAGACAAAAGGGGTCCCTACAGTTTAACAGTCCACTCCCACCATTACACTCATAGCCCACTGCGCAAATGGCCTTAACGATGAGGTAATAAGAGTCATTACTGCGGATCGCTCCATTAATGCAAAAGTCCTTCAACATCCAGATGTAGAGACCTGGGAGAAAACATGCATGGGAAGGTTTTATGTAACATGTTGACATTTTGTTTAAATATGTCTGGTAAATGGCCGCCAAGCCCACTGCAACTTCCTTTACTTTAGTTTAGTTAATTGTACAAAACCAACTATTCCTAAGCTTCAAAACAAACATATTTTGCCTTCGAGAACAAAACTGTTCGGAGAAATGGTTTTCATAGTGTTTTAAATAAAGTTACTAAACGTGTGTGAAAGGAATGCTATAACTCATCATGAGGCATCCACTGATTGGATGTTACACAAACTGTCATGAAGATGGAAGCAAAATCGCAGCGCGGTAGTCAGGGGGTCAGGGGTGGCCACTAATTTGTGCAGCTGTTAACACACAGACACCATCTCCGACATGTAAGTGTGCACAACATGTGAAGATTTATATTCAGGCAACTGCATCCAGCGCCCTCTGGTATTTCTCTCGGTTCAGCATGGCTTTCTTCTTTCCCCTCTTTCTCTCCTTAACTCTCTCACACACCATAGTATCGTTCACACACTCTCTCTGGCTTCCTTGTTCTCTCGTTCCCATGGCTCTCCCCCTCCTACTCCTGCAGCTCATATAGGGCCCTCTAGTCTCATTATTACCTCTGTCTTTTTATTAGGCCCATTAGGGCTCTTAGGAGGCCTGTAATGATACTAAATGAATAGAGAGTGAACTGCTGTCTGCTTTAGACCTAGCTCTCAATGACAGCTTCAAGCTTCACTGCCAACCACTCACTCTCTTCAGTGTACTGAATAGGGATTCAATTACTTATCTGATTTGTTCCTGTACTGTACTGTTGCATGGCCAGAGCACTCTGCTTTTCAGCAAACAATTATCCTACACAATGCTGTTCAAACCCGATGGTACAGTGGTTCAGTGTGACCTGTAGCACCATTGGGTGTGGAAGATATTCAGTCTACTAAACAGATTTTGAATTGAGATTTGTTCCACCATTATTTATTCCAGTGTTACAAAGACTAAATGGACTTTGAAACCGGCAGAATTAGCATCTTGAATTCCTCAAGTGATCGCGTTTAGGCAACATAAACACTTTGGTTCGGGGGCGATGGTGATTTTGATCAAATGTTGAAGAAGTGTTGCACCTCATGCTTCAATATTAATTTTGACTTTATCAATATTTTAAAAAGACCATGATCTTTCCCTTACCCCCCGGCCCATAGAGCCTAATCATTGTAATAGTTATAAGATATAAGATTATTTGCCATACAAGTTATGACTTATTTTAACACTGGGAGATAATGTACATTAACAACATTTATTCACTAGATTTAATTAATGCTTTTATTCCAAATTGTAATATGTCTCTTGCTTCATAATCTACGGGCGTTCATCTAGACAGCTAAAGCAACATACCGTTAGCCATAGCTAGACTAAATGCTAGTTTGTCACAGAGTTACAGCTAGTATTAATAAAATGTACTTGCCCTGTCTTTTCTTTAACTATAAATAATTGTATTTCAGTTTGTTATCCAAAATAAATAAACAAGGCGGTAGCTACATCTAACCCACGAGCATCATCTTAAAGTAATTGAATTGAATTTAAATCACATATTTAAATATATTATACTGTATATTTAGTTTTAATAGGTTGAAATATCTGAATTTTGGGTACTCTCTATTTAAAGCTGGTTTAATTGGGTATAATAATTAGCTTTAAAAGATATAAAATGAACACATTACAACCCTTTATATGCAGTTTGCCTGCTAGGCTGTAATCCTTTAACACTTCCTTAATTCCTCCCTAACTGCACTCTTCCTTTGTAGTGCAGATTCATATATAATAATAATAGATTTTTCTCTTAAAACTATGGAAACCTGTGGTGTCTCTTGTCTCAGTTCATGCTTTTTGTCATCACAAGAGGATAAAACTGCAGAGAGGGAGGCATTCCCCAGCTGGCTCGATACTGTGTCATGTTTGGTCAAACGGCAGTAAATCCGTAGGGCAAAATATTGATATTTCATGGCGGGGAATCACCCTCCACAGCGACACTTAACTCAGCCACCTCCAGGCGGCACACCTGAAGCTCGAGGGCGACCTCCAGGGAGCCAGGAAGTCACTCCATCGCTTCAGTAAATTGAGTGGAAAGGGAATAAAAACATAGACTATAGGGGAAAAAAGATGGAAACAGCTGAAGATGGTGACTCTACTTTCTAAAGAAAGTTGAAAAAAATGTAGAGACAAAGCTTGAATATAACCAGTTTGGAGGTTTGATGTATTAAACACTCATAATAAGCATTTCAACATCAGTTTGAGTTTTTATGGACTCGCTTTGTACACACGTTAGTCATTGATCCTCCATTATTATTCCAAATACACCTGATGGGATTGAAGCCATTAATTTGCTTGCGTTTTGGGGATGGAAAGTATTGAATTGAATTCCTGATGCAGCCTACAGTATCTCCATTCAGGGATCCCGTAGTCCCTCCTCCCCCCCTAAACGTGTACCGGATGTCCTCCATCAACTGTCTGTTTGTCAGATCTGAGGCTTGGATCGATCCCCCTTTCGCATTTGGTGGACTGATTACAATCTACTAATCAATGACACCCCCAGCACTCTTTTCTCTCTCCCTCATTCTCTCTCCCCCCTCGTCGTTTCTCTATTTGCTTGATAAGAACCATCGGGAGGAATTCCTTTTAAGTCAACCTGCCCCATTCCCATCCATACAACTGCAGATTTAAGTAAGCAGAGTGCTGGGTTCAAGGCCCTGGTCAATACCCCCCCCAATCACCTTCCTATTCACTATAGAGAAGTGAAAGGTATTGTGGCGCTTGAGGTCCTTTCAGATGTCTGTCTGTTTGATGTGGTGTGAATGTCGCAAAGAGAGTTGATGGGTCGACCTCGAGATCTTGGAGGGATTGTTACCTCGAGTGCAGAAGGTTGAACACGAGAGACAAAAGGATCAAGATGGTGTCTATCAGGGAATACGTTTTGGTTTTGTTTCAGCACTTCATTTGAAAACCGTTCCCATCAAAATACCATTATGTCACCAAGTGTTCATAACAATTCAAGTATATGAGAATTTCATTAGGTATGTTTTTGACTGATATGACTATCAGAGCTGACTTGATGCAGATCAGTGTGGACTTAAGACCAAAAACTCTTCTGAAATCATCTTCCGCCATCTTGCCTTCATCAGAGTGGTAACTGAGGTTTATTTGTCTCCCATCAATTGTTGATGTTGTTGTAACTCTCCTTAGCTATTTGATTTTTTAGAACAGATATTATCGACTAAACTCTACAGAAAACAAACGTCCCTTTTGGTTCCTTGTTTAATCCTTTTGGACTTAAGGAGCTTTCGCATTAATCCAAAACTCTTTGAAAATGATATGACTAATTGATTCACATCACATAATTAAACAAATCTGATAAAGGCATAGTAGACACAAAATATCTGAGAAATTAAACCCGCTATATTGGTAAATACTTCTGCAACTTGTTTGATGGATTGAGTTCAGATGGTGACACCAACCAGAAACAATGATCAAGTGAATGAGAACACATTTATATAATTAGACCATTAATTCAGTTGATTTTGAAATAAAATGTTTGGGCTATGAAGAATTCATTTAGTTTTCTCTCTTCTGTACCATGACCAGAGTGAGAGGTGACTAGGTTTAAGGGTGGATTTGTCCTCACTAAGCGGTGTGTCATGTGTGTATGAGGTGGAGAGGGCTGACTGTGGACGGTTGATGGTGGAAGCAGCGCTAGCTCATGTTTCAAAGGCCTCCATACTTGACTGATTTATACTCTTCCTTTAAGCCACCACATACAGCCATCGGCCTCTGTTTCATGTTGGACTTCTCCGGGGATTATACAGGGTTGTATACACAGCCCATAAAACACATTGAGGACTTGAGTCGGCCGTTTACAGTGCAGTGAGGTTAATGGGTTGATCTCACGCTTGGTCATGTGAGTGCAGCAATACATGGAAAGGAAATCTCCCAAAAATAACATTAGTTTATTTTGGTTTCTGCAGGTTTTTCCACTCTCTCGCTGGCAGACCAGATGAGTCTACTGCAGAGCGCCTGGATGGAGATCCTGGTGCTGAGCATCGTGTTTCGCTCACTGCCCTGCGAGGACGAGATAGTGTACGCCGAGGACTACGTGGTGGACGAGGAGCAGGCGAGGGTCTCAGGCCTGCTGGACCTGCACGTCGCCATCCTGCCGCTGGTGCGACGCTACAAGAAGCTGCGCATGGAGAAGGAAGAGTTCGTCACGCTCAAAGCCATCGCACTCGCCAACTCAGGTACAGTTTACCTCCTCAATACCACTGTCTGTGACTGTTACGATTCAAGATTCAAGGCTTTTATTGTCATTCGTACATAGCTACAGTGTAGTTATGTCAGTGGAAATCTTAGGGCACAGGCTCCTCCAACAGTGCAACACAATAAAACAATATTGCAAGTAAATACAAATAAAATAGAATTAACTGATGCAGTGCAGCAAAACCTTTATTCAGACCCACATCATTTTATTTGACATTCTAGTGGAGACACCAATATTCCAAATATACCAATTAATGCTTTTGAGGAGTATTTTTGGAGAATGCGGGAAGACACCAAGAATACCTTGTTGTTGTTTTCTTCAACACGAAACGTTAAAGGGTGGCAACACACAGCAAATATATATTTCAGGGCTTTTACTTTTTTTACTTTTGGTTTAAGCACTTGACTTACCAAATGGTTTTTCTTTGGTAGCATCAAGAACTAGCAAATATAAAGTTATTGTATCCTTATTTCCTTCCTATTTTACTTTACAAACCAGAATACGTCACGAGCTTGACAGGAAGGTACATCTCTATGTGAAATCTTAAATAAATCTAGATAGTCGGCATTCAATTAAAGCAAACAATGAAATAAAACAAAAAAAATGTCAGGTGATTGGTTATATCTGGTGAGCCGATCACTTCCCCGCTGAAGGGTACCTGATAAGAGGGGACAAAAAGGTCAGCAGCGTGCTTGCTTAATGCAACGCTCAATGTGCGTGGATGTGTGTGTGCATCTCCTTTTTAATTTGTGTGCACATATGCGGGTGTGTGTGTGAGAGACTGTCACATTGCGCTCTCATTCTCTCCATCTCCATAACAGTGGCTGCCAGCGCGCCACAGCCCAGGGAGATATATTTAGCATTTCATTAGGAAAACAGGGGCTGTCAATAAAATGTGTTAAGTGGAGTGGAATGAGCGTTGGGGAGCGACGGGCCTCGTTTGTTCCAATGTGAAGATGCTGCGCCCGTATCGACAGTTTGCTTTTCATGAGGCCGGGCCTGTCCCCCACTAATCAATGCCTGTTAGGAGTCTTTTCTCCTGCCTGACTGAAAAATGAAAAATGCTGAGCCCAGAGCTTTAGTCTTCTGATGACAAACTCTCCATGGGAGGGGAGGATACATGGGTGGGGAGGGGGGTTATGGAAAGACAGGGATGTAAAGGTAAGGGAGAAGTGTGAGAGAGGAAGGCAGGGGTTGAGAGGGAGGCTCAGGGAGGGCGAGAGGGCAGCTTCGGCGCGTTTGAACACAGTTCTCGCAGAGCTTCGGCGGCAGGGGTCCTGTGGGTGTGACAGCTGTTGAAATTCATGGCCATTGATTTTGTAATTAGCGGAGTATCGACGGGATTGACGCCAGGCTGCTGACGGATTACATGGAAATTGTTTCTTCAAAGTTAGTTTTGCATTCCGCCCGTAAACTCCTTCAACACATGTGAAACGCTGTGCATTTACACACACACACGCTGACACACATTTGAAAAGCATATTCCCTCTTCCCCTCCTCTCTCTCACTGAGTCACACACACACACACACACACACATATGCTCGCACAGCCAAACGAGGATCAGATCAGTATTAACATGAAGGTTTCAAATGAAGAGAGCTGGAACACATGTGCGGTCCACATAGCCTAGTTAATTTCCCAAGATAGAAACGCAATTTACACAGAAGGCGACTGGTAAAAGAGACTTAATCAGTCAGTTAGGAACATAATTAGCCTTGTACTTTCCTTTTTTATGCCTCATTTACATGTTTATACGCGGTCTTACTTCATTCCACAACTTTCATGACACATAGCTGAGGCGATCTAATTCACTCACACACTTCAATCAGGAGCCACGTTCGCTTTAAATTCAGGGATACAGTGTGTTTAGGAGGAGACGAGACACTCTTATTCTGTTAGATATACCAAGATGAGATGTTTTTCGATTGTTATAATACTGAATTAAATTCCCATTTTGTTGTGCACAATTGTATCAGTTAATAAAATGTGGATATGATACATACACAGATTAGACCCGATATAAGTCTGTGCATTGGAATTGTCTGAAAGCAATCCGCTGCTTGTCCATTAAAACGCTCTCTGTCAGTTTGTCCTTTGGAGGACAAGCCTGTTTTTTTCCTTCCCCTGACTTGTAGACTTATACATGGAGAGCAGTTTTTAATAAGTCTCAACTGGTTTTATTTTAGAGCCTATACATAAGGGGGCCAACTGCTCTTTCTTATGGAAATGAAGGCCATCTGCCGCCATCATTCAGCTGAACGATATCCCAGTAATGCAGCCATCTGAATTCATTAGCAGGGGGGGATGTATGTGGTCCATGATACCAAAAGAAATGAATCTTTTTCCTGTCCCCGCCGTATATTTATACGGACCTACAGTACCTCTCTCCCTAGAGTCCCGGCCACGCGTAGGCATTTATTTAAGGAGCGTCATTAACTACTACCAAGAGAAAACCTCTCTCCAAAATTACATGTTTGCAAAGACAAGCTGCAGAATGTAAAGCTGGGGGATGCTTCTGCAAAAGTTGTTTTCGTCATACTGCAGGTCAATAGAAAATGTTCATTTGTTTGTCATTTAATACAAAGCTTTGGAATAGGTTGATTAAATGTTCTCTCTTGTGTCCTTCTCCAGACTCCATGCACATAGAGAACATCGAGGCCGTCCAGAGGCTCCAGGACTCCCTCCACGAGGCTCTGCAGGACTTTGAGGGCCAGCATCCGGAGGACCCCAGGCGGGCGGGCAAGCTGCTGATGACCCTTCCTCTGCTCCGGCAGACCGCCACCAAGGCCGTGCAGCACTTCTACAGCATCAAAATGCAGGGCAAAGTCCCCATGCACAAACTATTCCTCGAGATGTTGGAGGCCAAGGCTTGACACCCGGGCCAGATGTTTGACAGACAGCTGCATCACCCAACGGGAGGCGAGGGACAGCCCATAAAAAATAATAAGGTGGTGTGCCAATTGACAAAGAGAGGATGAAGCTTGGACTACTGAGTCATTTTAACACTTTTAATGGTAATAAACATAACAGGAAAAGGGACTAGAAATGGTTTAAAAAAGGGTGAATATCAACTTGATTGACATGGGATCATGAGGATGTATATACAGACGTTCTGTACAGAAATCAGGCAACTGAGGTCTTGTTATAACCAGAGGCCCTTTGCTCTATATCACCTGAAGCTTCTGTGATTTTGTTTCTTATCTTATTTTCATCTCAAAACAAAGCGTGTTAATATAAATGTCCTAAAGAACTGTACGGCCACGTAGCCACATTAAGTGTTTTTGTTTCTCTCATATTTTCAAATCTCAGCTGTTAAAGCAATAGTCTCTAACTGGTCTACATATAATATGTGTACTGTATATTGTGTGAAATTGCACTGGGCAGGGGCGAGAATTGTTAGACATATTCTTATATTCGTCAGCAAAGAAAGCGGTACTGTGGGATTCTCGATTTCCTCGTAATATATTTACCTCGTAGTAGCTTCATCGACTCAGTTTTAGTCAACTTGGTGCTTTCAGAGGGACAAAGGTTGGCCGGTGATCACAGTTCACAAAGAGTTTGCACTAAGCATCGGTGAATAAATGGCAATAATGGGTATTGTACTAGCCAGCTCCGAGCCTCAGTCAGTGTTTTTTTCTTATTAACACTAAACCCCCTCCTCAATTCTCTGTGTTCATACATTAATATTGGAAACTAAGCATACTGTGAAAAAAACACAAGATAAGCTATATTTGTGCGGAGAGCTTTTAAACCGTATGGCTTGTTAAAGAAAAGTGTATTTTATTTAAATCAATTACAGAAACATCTATGCAATTTAATGCAATCTAAAAACGCTCTGTAATGAAACCTGATAGCCCTGCAATAAATACTACCTTTGTGAAGTTTATTTAATGTTCACTCTGTGTCACATAGGTGCTGATTCAACTCTAAATTTAGAGGCCGTAGTTTGTGACGGTGCGGTATTAGATTGCATTATGTTGTGTAGGTTTTGCTTAGGTTGTATGCTCAAACAACAAATGTCACTTTGTTGATGGTATTATTTTCACAGTTTATCTTTTGTTCATTTTAAGTCCTGTGTGATACCAAAGTCTACGTGTTAGCTTCATCTAAACTTAGACACATATTTTGATCCTGTATTTTGTTCTCGGTGTGAACTACAGGTGAAATATCGTGGCCCCTGAGGGTGAAAACGTTTAAATATGACTCAAATATTTTTCATTGTCATTTCTAAATAACAAAACCATAACTTCTTCATGAAGGCTGGGTAAATATTTGGCATAATCCTTCTCAAACGCACCCATACATAAGCTTCCATTCGAGATGTTTTGGTTTGCAACTAGTCATAGCTTAAGCTTTACAGATCATTTATATTATCTCATAATTGTGAGCTATCGTGAGCTATCTTTAGGGTGGCAAGATCAAAAGAAATAATGCAATTTTCTTTTTTTCACTTGAGAGTTTTGAGTCTCTTTGTCTCCGTGTTTGTTCAAATGTAATCTGGAAGCCTGTTAAACAATATAATGACACTTTCTGAGAATAACTTGAATCACTGTTACATTTGTATTTTATCAGCTCTCAGATTACAGCTTGCTGTCAGTCTGTATCTTCAAAAACATGATTTTGCTCATCATTCAAAAAGGGCACATTTCTACAAACACCGACACAGGTTAAACTGTATAAATTGTAAACCAGTTGCCAAATTATTTAAATAAATCTATCAGAATTAAGTGATTGCAATAAACGTATTATCATAAGATCAACATATAACAATAATCAGCTGCTGTAGGACTTTAATGAGACAGATATTGTCCCTTACGAACACTTTGAAGTAGCCGTTAATCTAAAGTGTTTTAAAGTGCCATTAGCTTCTGCCCAAACAAGAAGAAAACATAAAGCCAAGTAAATAAGACGTTTGCCACTTTCTACACTTGAAATGATCCCCACAGGAACAGACGCTATTGATTCACTGTAATGTGATGCATAGATAAATATAACCCAATGCAGTAGAGGATACAAATCCCATGATGCACTTCCCTAATGAGTAACCAGCTAATTCATCCCCAAATAAATTGAGGGATGAGTCTCCGCTGTACAGAAGCAAACCAAAGCGTAAATATCTTAAAGTTACAACATTTATAAAACTGCATTTTGAGCCAGCCAGACCATTGTGGTTGTTAACAGTATAATAATGTTTTATACATTAAACCTTTTAAAACCTTTAAACCTTTTATTCTGCTTATCATCCAGCTGTGCGTCAGTTATTTTTTTGTACCATCCTTTAATCCTACGATGGTGGGGATGACCGCTAAACAAGCTGAAGACCTTTTTTCTTTTTTCTTTAGTCTATATATGTTGATTAAACATCTGTCACTTTGTCGATATAAGACACCGTGTGAAGTAAGAGATGAAACTACCGATGTTTTTCATGTTACCATGGTTAAAGGAGACTGTTTCTGGCCAAAAGCTTGACCACAACATGCAAACTGACCTTCTCTCCTCTTCTTCACGTACCTCCTCTGTGCACTTTGAAGAAGGATAATTGTTTCCTAACTTTCCCTTCTTCTCAAATGAACATGAGAAAATAAAAGAAAAATGCCTAATTTATTTTCAGAGTTCTAAAACGGTTCTACTACATCCAATTAATTCTAATTGTCTCCTAAGCTGAAATTCTCAATAGAAATGGAGCAATTAAATGTCTGCTTTGGCTCTACCTTGGGGACGAGAGACATTTTATTTCGGTTGACGGCGGGGAGGGTTTGTCTAAACCTTTACAAAGGCGATTTCATGGGTGTCTGTAATAGTTTCATAACAGAGCGATCACTGGGCTATGCAAGGCAAATATGGCCACCTAAGTTCCCTTGTGTTGTGGAGCATCAGACAGACATTTAGCTGTGCTTTGTTTACAACGTGGGCATACTGTACAGAGCTGTACGCCGCAAATGTATTGTGCATATTTCACCATACTATATTGTAGCTGCTGTGCATTGATATTACGATGATTGTTTGTTTCATTTGCCCGTTAATGAATTTTTCATAATGTATCAGCAACTTCAACACACATTTAGAGCCCACCTGAATAGCTGTGTAATATAAATCACTGTATTGAGTCTGTTATATTTGGTCTAAGGTGGGATGTTTCTTTTCTTTACTGTGTCTTTGTGTCTCTCAAAGCTGAAACAAACACTCTGTGTTGCCGTCCGTTTTGTTTATGAGCACAGCAGGACGTATAGCGAGTGAAGTAGTAGTCTAGACCCTATACCTCAATTCATATTTTGAAAATTACACTGGGCTTGGAAGCGGGCCATGGGTTTCTCCTGGGAATCAGTGGCACAGAAATAAAGTGACATCACTGACTGGGTATTAAAAAAATGTAGATGAACCTGCTGCAATTGGGGAACACATTCCTCGGAGGAGAAAGCTGCTTATTCGCTGTTCCATTTGCGGACTTATCTTATCTCCATGCACTCTGAGATGACGAGATTTACATAAAACATGGGGGAACCTCCCTGGCCGTTCTGCTCCGCGGTGTATAAAAGGACCCTGCTTAGGTGTGTGTACCGTAGACATATGATTACCCAAGAGGTTTACTCCCCTCAAAAGCAATATGTTAGAAATTGTGATATATGAATCAAGTTAAAAGGGAGCTTTGGTTCATTGTAATTATAAACGTATCCTATGTTTGGAAAAAGACAGGGTAACTATGCACACACAGTCCTGGAGAGACAAAAATAATGTGAAAATGTTGGGATGAAGAAGCAAAAAGCCAACCACAGCTGGGTTTCACTGGACAGTATTGTGTGGCATTCTCTTGTGTTTTGTTTGTGTGTTCATGCCTAATGTACCCATGTGTAAATATATGCTTTTTTTGGAGTGAGTCAGATCTAACAATGCACTGAATGTACAGTGACAATAAAATCACATGGTTTATGTAATCACTGCAATTTATTTCTTACTAGGTAATGAACATGGGAAGAAAATAATCTTCTAAAAAACGTCTTTGTAACATATTTAATGACAAGTTTCACTTAAAGAATATATATTTTATGGAACAATAATGCTGGTTTAAGTTTTCAACAAATATATTAAATTGCAAGATACAATATTTTCCTCCTACAATGATGATTTTACCCACATTACACAATGTAACACAAATGTTTGGGGGGGTATTTTACACAAAATATTCAAAATATGCCGAGCTCTAGCAGTAGAAGACAAGACACAACTTTTCATTTGCAGTAATACACACATTTACTGTACACCTCAAGAAAAAATAAAACAGGTTAATTCTAAAATAATAAAATATCTTCATACTGTCAAGGTTTTATAAACATACATGCCTTCAGAAATAAGCAAATTACTTCAAAGCAATACAGGCTGTAATATAAAGTAACTTTTACATGTTTGCTGTAATGTGTTGTTGCTTTTAGCTACTCCGGATCATCCGATTTTCCTGGTAAACATTTTTTATTTAATAGATATCAACAAAATAATAGTGAATACTGATACAATGCTTTTATCAGACATATGTGTATCGAGTGCTAGAGTGCAGCATTGCCCTGATATCGGCGTATGTAATGTACAGTCAAACGGTGCCTAGCCGTACCCATCATGTGCGCATCTGTCTGTGTACTTGTACATTTAGCGAGACGGTGCCTTAGGGTGTAACGGCATCCTCCTGCCCCGACTGTCAGTTGGTTAGCTGTCTACACAATGTCCCGTTTGACCTTGCGTTGGCTACAACACTGGCTGAATGCACATCTGACACACTCCCTTCCTTTGTGGTGCAATCCTGTGGAAGTCATTTCATTTACTGGGCTTTCAACTTCAGCCAATATGGGGGTTGGGGGAGTAAGTCTGTGTTTAATCAGCCTGC